TTGTCTACATAGTATATGACAATAACATACAGAGGACCAATTCACATTGCCAATATTCTATAATGTAGTAGTTCATTTTGTGAATAAGGCACGCAATGCACAGATTCAGGTTCACTTGCCTAAAAATATTCATAATCCTTATTTATAGTATTTAAGTATATACAGGACCTGGTCATTCCCAGCATGACTCATTTGGACACATTGTAAAGTTGTGTTGATTGTACACTGGCCACTCACAGGAAAGCTGCTCAGGGAACAGGGCGCTGCACAACTAGCATGAGAGATGACAGAGATGTTACATCCATGTATTGTTCTATAGTCAGTTTGATATACCTCGAATAGGATTAATGTAGGAGGAAAATTCTAGTGTTCTTCTATTAAAGGACACATGGATTTAACGGAACAGATGTGCCCTGAAATGAATTCAGTCTTTTCATAGACTAAACTATTGGTGTTGCTTTAGTGTCATATGGTAAATTATTAAAAAAACAACAACATTAAGACATTAAACATGTAAATCATTTTGTTCAAACTATTTATAGAATGTAATGAGAAATGTGTTTTTTTTTCTTAATACCATTGCTACATAAGGAAAGAAGTCCTCTTGAACCACCAGTATAATTCCTACAAAGGGGCAGTAGAGCTCAGGAGGGGTTTCAGTCCTGGAGAGAAGCAACTCTTTCCATGTATCAGTTTTAACAGTATTTTTGGTTGCCAAAAATGGTATTACATGGCTTCTGTCAGCTATATAATACACATGCTCACACACAAGCAGATGTGCACATCCTTATCAGGGGCTATCCAAGACAAAGACTTACAAGTAATGGCACCATTTGCAATTTCCTGGCTTTCTGCATAAATTGTTCATGAAATGTGATCTGATCTTCACCCAAATCACACATATCAACAAACACAATATTTCTAAACTGATAAAACACAAACAGTCATGAGCTCATATACAAAGTGATAGTGGAAAAAATAATGGCAGCGGTCTTCTAATAACTGGCTGAACCACCTTTGGCAGCAATAACCTCAAGCAAGCACTTCCTGTAGCTGTAGATTAGACCTGCACAGTGTTAAGGATGAAGTTTGGACCATTCTTTCTTACAGAACTGCTTCAGCTCAGCCATATTCTTAGGATGTCTGGTGTGAACGGCTCTCTTGAGGTCATTCCACAGCATCTCTATTGGGCTGAGGTCTGGGCTCTGACTGAGCCACTCCAAAAGGTGGACTTGGTGTCTTTAAAGCTATTCTGTAGTAGATTTAGTTCGATGTTTAGGGTCATCGTCCTGCTGCATCACCCAGGTTGTTCTGAGCTTCAGCTTGCAGACAGCCACCCTGACATCATCCTGTAAGATACTTTGATAAACTTGGGAATTAAGTTTCCCCTCTACAATGGGGGTGGCTGTGGATCAGGAGGTAGAGTGGGTCATTTCCTAACCGGAGGGTTAAAGGTTTGATTCCTGGCTTGTCCAGTCAACATGTTGGAGTGTCCCTGAGCAAGACACTGAACCCTCAGTTGCTCCCGGTGTGTGAATGTGTGAGTGTGAATGGTCAAGTAGTGTAAAAGCACTTTGAGTGTGCTATATAGCATAGAAAAGTGCTATACAAGTATAAAACCATTTACCACAATGGCAAGTGGTCCCGGTCCACAAGCAGCAAAGGAGGCTTAAATTGTGATAGTCTGTTCACTGTTGGGATGACATTTTCATGTTGGTACACAGTTCTGGTTTTACACCATACATAGTGCGGTGTGTTCTTCCCAAACAATTCTACCTTCATTTCATCTGTCCACAGGACATTTTCCTGAGTAGAGTGTCAAGGTCGTTTTTGGCAAACTTCAGGCATGCTGAATGTTGATTTGGGGGAGCAATGGCTTTCTCCTTCCTCTATGGTGTCCTGCCATGAATACCATGCCTGTTCAATATTTTGCATATGGTTGAGTCATGAACAGTGATGTTAACCAACTCCAATGAATGCTTCAAGAATGTAGCTGTTTCTCTAGGGTTCTTTTTTTTTTTTTTTTTTTTAACCAATGAGCATTCTACATTGTGCCTTTAGAGTGATCTTGGCTGGTTACCCACTTTTATGGAGAGTAGCCACAGTACCAAATTGTCTCCATTTATAGACAGCATGTCTAACACTGGACTGATGAATATCCAAGGTCTTTGAGATGACTCTGTTCCAGCAACATGCAAATCAAGAAGTCTTGATCGTAGGTCTTCTGAGATCTTTTTAGGAGGCATGGCTCACATCAGCTGATGCTGCTTGCAAATAGCATACTGACACTGTTTGGATGTTTTCATAAGTCAAGGTAGTTCTAAACCACACCTCTGATCTTGTTTCATTGATTGAACTCCAGGTTTGCTAACACCAGACTCCAGTTAACGTTTAATGACATCAGAAGCCTTGTGTTGACATTATGTTTTTCCACCATCACTTTGTATGTTTAATGGGTGTGTTCAATAAAGACATGAAGTATCATGACTGTTTGTGTTTTATCATCTTAAAAGTGTTGTGTTTGTTGATATTTGTGATTTTGATGAAGATCAAATCTCATCTGATTGTGTGTGAGCATGTTATTACATAGCTGTTTAAAATCAATAGCAGCAAATGTACTAAATAAAATTTCCCAGCAAGTTTTTGTCCCAGTATTCATCCAGCATGACCAACTAAACCTCAGCCTAACAAAATTACCAGAATCACAAAAAAAACGGTTTCAGCTTAGTTCAGATGGGTTCGAATAATAACAGATATTTTTGTTGAAATGAAAGACAGTAACTTGGGTTTTAAACAGGTCTTAAGATGCATCCTCTGGCATGTAGCACCTTTCTTGATGACCAAGTGTGAATCCCTAATATGTGCGCTGTCTTTGCACAAACCTGCTTTCCAGTCAACTTACACACATACACAAACATAATCATTTGCACTCTTTCTCTGTTTGCTTGCTATTTGATTCAGATGTTTGTGGTCATGTGTATCTTAGGCAACACACACACTGTGACTATTGATTTTCCTCCTCTGCCCCTAACCATCTTACTAACAAAGGTTTGTCTACCTCTGTTCTCTGTTCAGTTCACATTAGCGGGAAGACAGTGCTCAAGGGCAGTGACAATGAGACCCATTCTTCAAGTATTCCACTGTTTTTGACCTGGTAACACATGAGGAGATGCCGTAGCGGCCCCTGCTGGAGTCCTAAACCTTGAACCTAATATGGGAACAGGTGACACCCAAGCCCAGCAGATTCACCACTGTCCACAGTTCATCTTGTGGCTACCATGAGGTGGATGGAGACGTAGGGAGCGAAAAAGCTCCAAGGGGTATCTTTGGCCACTTGTGTGATTTTCCCTTTTTATAGTGTGAGTAAATGTGCATATTTATTAAAGGGGGAACACACCTCAAGCCGATACACAAACACACACTAGGCCCTGCCACATCTATAGTCCCCCCAAGCCCTCAGGACTCAAAGTTGTACAGTCAAGGCCAAGAGCTCACCCAAATGTGCCCATGCTCTTTTAGTAACTGTACTTATTGACCACTCGCATCTGTGAAGTCTGTGGTGAAAACCCATTAGGTTTAGGGGGCACATCTGGCTTTAGCGACGGGGTCCGTTTGAGCCCTGTGCGAGGGAGTGAGCCATGCCCACTGTAGCTGCTCTGGAGGGGGGTGTTGGGGGCATGTAACCCCCTCTGTTCATACTGTGCTGGCGAGACACAGATACCCCCATGGTTACCCCATTTGGTGAGGTGGATAAGGAGTGCCTATGTGAGGCACTCCGGTGGAGTTGGTAGCCCCCTCGTTGTCTCTCCAGGGTGCCTCCCATGCTCAGACTGCCCGTTGGAGTGCTGGGAGCAGTGGGAATGGGCACATCAACCCTCTTGGTGGGGCTATGCCTCGGCAGGGAGGAGGAGGGAGAGTACAGGGAAGCCTCACGGCTGGGCACCTTGGGAGGTAGTTCAGTTAGTTCCTCCATGGGCTCCAGTGTGAGATGCTGCCTTGGGCGGGGCCCTGATCCCTCTTGAAGAATAGCCTTGGGATTGGCCACAGAGTCATTGAGGTGTTTTAAAAGATCATTTAGAGTATTTCTGGCATCCACAGACCTCTTCTGGTCTTTCCTAGTTCCCTTAGATTCTGGATTCTTCAGCTTCTTTTCAGATGCATGTGGCAGTGTATCATCACCATTTTCAAGGTTAGAGTGATCATGTGTGGCGTTGGGCAGGACGACCGCACTAGGAATGTGGGAGTGTCCCAAGTGAGAGTGGTGGGAGTTGGAGTTAGAGTTAGAAGGAGCAGGAGAAGAAGGAAGGAACTGAGGACTCCTGGCTAATGAGTTGGACTCTTTCCGGGACCCATTGACCTTCCCATGAGCCCTCTCCCATTGGTTTTTGATGGGCTGCAGGCCTTTCTGCTGAAGTACAGGAGTGGACTCAGGTGTAGGCAGGGCAGCCAGTTCAGGGGGCTGACAGCCATCCCGCATGATTATGGTCTTGGTGTCACTGTTTGGTGTATTCAGGTCTTTGCCATTGCTCAGCAGGTTGGTGTACAGCTTGGGAGAATCGATGTTGGTTTGGTACTCCTAAGAATGTGACAATAAAGTCAAAAGAGTAAGATTAGACAGTTTCACATCTTGTTCAATCACTTCTCTGCAGAAATGTCTTTTGATACAGCATTGGAGCTTTTTCTTTTATGACTGTACCTTTACAGGACTGTCAAAGAGGCCATTGAGTTTTACAAAGCTTCCAGTGGAGTCAGAGCAAGAGGGTGCAGACTCTGCATCCTTGTGAACATGTCTTGGCTTACGGAGGAATGAGTCTCGGTAGCAGAAAACAATCAGACCAGCCAGGAGAGCACCCATGAGAAAAGCAGCAAACACGCAGGTGATGAGGATGTTCATGTGGACCATCTGGTTGGTCTCACCTGCTTGAATATCCCACATACCTACAAAACAGTAAGACATTGGTTAACCCCCTGGTGGAAAGAGTCAAAGTGCTTAGTGAAGCGTCCCTCCCCACTCAACAGCAGAAATGTACATGCTTGTGTGTAAACACAGCCATGCACGAATTTCTGCTTTCACATCTACGGTGAAGAAGCTGTTAGGTACCCACATCCATTTCCCCACCTGTAAGAAGCAGCACTCTGTCAGTTCAGAATGAAAGATTTAAGGCGTTGCCTTAAGCCACATTGCACTAGAGGCCTTTTGGCATGCATTTAACCAGTACCAAAGGGTTAGAACTGCAGTCTTATCTGAGACAGAGAGCCAAATAAATATTTTTGCACAAGATATCAACCACCAGGAAGTCTGTCAGAGGAAAGCTCACAGGTGTTGATATAGCTACTGCTCTACTAGAGGTTTGTTAGTAACCACAGACATTGAAAGAGTTAGTCATCCACCATGCGGCCACAGTAGTTATGTGGCAGAGCAGGCCCAGTCAATTATCTACCAGCCACAGTAAACTTGCTAGAACTGTTACTACAGTTAAACACAGCTAAAAACTATGTTGGCTGAGAGAGGAGGTACCAAACAAAAGATTTTAAAGAAACAATATGAGAACACTAGGTAAAAGATTTAATGATTAGAAAACTGGGAATAAAAAAATGTAAAAGAAAGGAAGAACATACACATTTCCAATTTAAATGAAAGAGAACAATGGTAACAAGAAAACATAATGTACAGCAACAAAAATTAAGAAAAAAGACTAAATTAAAATCTGCCAGCTGCCATGGTGTGCATGTGTGTGTTTGCATATGTGAGCCTATGTGTGGAATCAGGTTTGTGTGGCTTTGTGAAAGTTGTTGGCAGCTATCAAAAGAGGTAGCATGCTGGCTGCCTCCCTTTGGGCCTTACCCTCTTGGCCCCCTGGGATAGAGTCTAAAGAATGGGAGGTGGCTGGGTCATCCTGCAGCACAAAGCCTGAGCCGTAGAGCTCTGGACCAGGCCCAGAAGTGGGGCTCTGAGTGGGTATGAGTACTGGGGGGTGTATGGGCCCACTGGGCAGGATAGTGACTGGCACTGATGAAAACTCCATGTCTGTGGTGACAAACAAATTGTTAACAAACTGTGCAGATGTGGGTAAAGCATAATCCTGGTTAGCAGACAGTGGATAATTTTGAAGATTAGTGTCCAAAAAGGTAGCAGTTAACCTTTAACAAAAGAAAGTGTTTTCACACTCACAGAGCAATGAAAGTACATTTTTGCTGTTTGTTTAAATAATTTGGAAGGGGAGAAAAGAGGATACTGAGGAGCAAAGAGGAGTTGGTACACAACAGTAAGGATGCCAAGGGATGTAGGTGGGCATGCAAGAGAGAGGAGAGACTGGAACAGGAAGTGGTAAGTGAAAAGGAGGAAGTGAATCTGTGCTGGGATAGAGCACCGATGTCATCTTGTGGATTTGTTGTGTGTATGGTAAAAATGGAGAAGGTGACACATTAGCATTCAAGAGGTGTTTGGTAAGAAAAGATGAACAGTGGCAGTGGTGGAAAGACAGGGTTGAAGATGCTGAACTCAAGGAAAGAAACCATTTGAGTAAAAGATCAAACTAACCAGAGGTAGGGTCACCAAATGATTTGTAATCTGGCGCTGAAGTAGTGCCCAAAAACGCTAAAAGAATTAAGAGGACAAGCAATCAGTATAAGGGAATTCAGAAGATGAAACTAAAAAAAATGAAATCGCTAGGAGACACTAAGAGTGCAGTTTAGTTGGTTTAACAGTGATGATATAAAGCACTCACTAGCAGTGTCTTTTTCTCACTGGAGTCACTGGAGGCCCTCTGGTTCTGATCAATACTGAGGTTCAGCCTGGGTCATGTTTAGTTGGTATAAATGAATGTATGGAGGTTTTAAAGTAAAATCAGTAAAGGCACATTTTCTGGCCATTTTATATCTGAACCATTTGAACCAACTTAACATGACCCCTAATTGTACATGTCCATGGTTCTGCCTCGCAGACAGCATTAGTTACAGGTGGCCATGTACTGTATGTAAATGTGTGTGTTAATACTGTACATAGATTTATGTCGGGGCACGTTACTGGAGTGGTTACTGGTGTGAGTGTGCAGGCTCATGGTGTGTGGAGATGAGTTTGCGTGCCATCTGCGTACATGTGTATCAGCGTCTGTGCATGTGTATATCATTGTGTGTAAATGTAGGTGTCTGAGGATGATGGCATGGCATGAAGATGAGATTTGTACCGTGACAGTCTCCCAGGTGGGCAGTTTTTCCAAATTCAACATCCTGCTCATATCCTGACCTGAAATGAGGGGGAAAGGGAGGTAGACAGAGAGATTAATCAGAACGTTCTCATCTGTACTATTTGCACTTTATATTGCTGCTGGGGCTTGAACTCACAGAACATCAGGCTGTATCCTCTCACAGACTCCATGAGGCTTCCAGCCACAGTAAGGATCCCTAGATGCAATGCAGGACCTGGTGCCACACGATCACAAACACACCATCAGAACACCGGGTTTAATCATTCTGGAAAGTGCACTGTAATCATTTGTGTCTGAGTGAACATTAACCACAAACTATATGGGGTAAGATGTTATCATACCCTTTATGACATTTAACTGAAAAACAAAACAATAAAAGATATAAACTGGTGGCTGACTGTACCAGGCACATTTTAACTCCCTATGTATACATTAGTACATCACTTACTTTTGGCAGGAAGAATGCCTTTCACAGCGACTCAGGGGAATACGGATGACACAGCTTGAAAAAGCAACATACAGGCTGTGCGTATCTTTGTCCACGTGCAGCGAGAGGACACGCTTGTCATCCTCACGGTTAGACAGGCACCTGGAAAGGGAAGCCAGAAACCTGATCAGAGGTTCATCAGATAAGGCTGTCTGCTGTGTCAGCCTCAGTAGATTTAATCACTTGTTAGGTGGAGAAGTCACATAGAGCCTTTTCTCACAGTAAAACAGGATTTTAACCTCTGACACACAGCAATAATGTGTTTGCATCCCTGAATAGGCTACAAAAAAGTCAATTACACACGTACTGTGCATGCACACAAAGTAGACAGACACTGTCACCTGTGGCAGGAAGCTTCACTGAAACCTCAACCAGAAGAGAGAAGGGGAGGTGAAAAAGAGAACAGGTTGACAGAGAGAGCGTGAAAAGCACATGTATCCCTACTTGGCCCTGTTGAAGACGTCTATCTCCTCCAGAAGCAGGCTGTCATTAAAGGACACAGATGTGGTCTTGGCCAAAACTTTGAGGACAACGCCCGACTCAGCCCCGATGAACACCACTGTGTAGTTTTTGTGGGGTCTTGCTTCATTGTCCACAGCCAGTGCTGTCAGCCTGTACCTTCACACACAGCACAGAGGCATGTGTTAATCAGAATAGGGGTTATCCCATTCAGAATAGGAAAGGCCATTTGTATACATAAATCAGTGACTCTTGAGTTACTAAAGGTCAGACATTTTTTTTACTTAATTTACTTTTATTTCAGGAAAGTTCTTGTAGAGCTCCCTATGATTAAATACTGATAGGATTTGAGCAGTTTAGTATATTTTGTCAAATGCAAATGAACTTTGTAAAAAAAAAAAAGGTTTATATTCCTCAAACTAAGGTATTAAAAAACATCAGTTCCAAAACTCAGGCACTGCATTAGCAAGGGCATAGATACCCGGTCCTCAGGTACTCCTCCATTTACCTGACGCGTGTCCTAGTGAACCAAGGCTCATCCCCAATGGACGGCACAGCTGTGTCCATGAGGGGGTGGGACTTAATAAACTGCAGGGTATCATCTGGGAACTCAATGGAGCTCTTAAAGGACGCAGCTGGACCATGACCTGCACAGCACCCGGGTCTAGGATGGAAGGGTGCACATGAACAGAGGGCAAAAGGTCAAACATCAGCCTATACGATTACACACCAGGGAGTAATAATAACGTGCATTGAAATGGATGGAAAGTGCAGTGAGAAAGTGGGGGGAGAGCAGCAGGTGCTTATTAGGATCACAAAAAGGCCTCAGCTGGAAACATAAAATATACATATGCATGGTTATCGTCCATCAATGATTTACTGAGGTAATGATGCACTGTGTGTTTTGGACACATGGCATAGCTACAAATATAGGTGCTGACTGTAAACAGGTTAAATATGCAACATGTCTAATTAGGCCAAATTAATTATTTAATCATCAGCAGATGGTTAATGTGTGCACTGGGTCAACGATAATAACCTGGTCCCTTCCTAGTGAAAAAAGATTTGGATTCATTGGGCTTAACCTGGACTAAAAGGGGGTTAAGAAACAGAGAACATGACAGGTGATAACCTACTGCTAATTTAAGTGCCACCTTCTCAGATTAAAGCCATTTTTAAATCTAAAATTGTAGGCTAAAGCCCTCTTGTATTTTGATGCTAGCTTTTTCCTTTTTGCGTCTGCTCTGAGGGATGGAAGTGTTAAATTCTTACCGAGGTTTGGGCAGCTTCTCCTCTGAAAATGGAGTCCACACAGAGTCGGGAGTCTTCTGCTCTTTGAACCGGCCTGAAAATACTTTCTCTATGTCAGCCATGGAGAAAGCACACACTGCTGACCCTGGGATACTGTGGGGAAAAATAGTAATGTAATGTCCATGCTTGACTTCTACATGTCTTATTTCTGTCCTCTGCACTGGTTCAATCAACAACTAACAGCATCCGTGGCTCACCTGTTCATCTGTGTGGTAAACACACCCACCACCGAGGGAACTCCGTTGATGTTGATGATGTCAGTGATGGACTGAAGCACATCGAAGTAAAAGAAGGACTCCCCTGGCACAGAGCAGTTCAGCCTTGCCTTCACAAAAGATGTCCAGTGCTTCTCCAGCACCCGCTGTGACCCACCAACGTCATTCTTACAGATCCGGGCCACACGGGAATACACAACCTGCAAGGAGCAGGAGTTTAAGAGAGGAGACAAAAATGGATGAAAAAAGAAAGCAGCTGAGTGACTGTCACTAAAAACACTTCAGCGTGTTGAATAATGCATCTCTCCATCCTGTAGCAGCTCAGCACACGCATCTTAACAAACACATGGTCTCAACTTTGAGTCTGTGTGTGAAGATTGTGCCTTCTGACTGGAACAAACATTTAGAGAACACATTCTTTGGCCATGACTGACCTAATGCAGCACCATGAATGCATATTTGATTGCACATATTACCAAGGCTTAGAGTATAAATTAAGTGTGTGAAGCAGTTGGCTTAGACAGTTTTAATAATTTACTGGTGCAAACCTCCATCAGAGGCCAGGTGTCACCCCAGCATTAGTAGGATTGAAATATTCATTAGTTGGTGGCTGATGGAGGGTGCTGGCTTCCTGTGTCTCAGCCACACCGGCTCAGGGATGAAGCATGGTCAAGTCTGAAGTTGGCCTCTAACATGAAACATCCTAATGCCCTGGGCATGTGTGTGTGTCACAGAGAGGGACATTCACAGAGTGCACAATCTCCAGGAGACAATTCCTCTCACTCTGTAATGGCTTTACATTAGTAGAACACTCCCAATAAACACTGGCTGCTGAAATTCCTCGTGTAGTCTAATACGATGTCATCGCCTGAATGGGCCTCATTACCACTAAGGCCATTTGTGCTAGAAATGCATTCTCTGAGGGAAATGTAAGCTTTTTTTGGATAAAGCCTTGCATCTTTGTATCTGGGTGAAATACGCAATGCATTATAAATGGCAGGTGCACTGTCTTACCTTGCCCAGATTGCTGTGCTCCACTGCAATCTCTCGGTAGAAAAAGTACACATAATTCCCATACTCTGCGGCATGCAGGAAATGAGGTTCTGCGAGAGAGAGAGAGACAGAGGCAGAGCGTTGAAGTGTATTTCTGCACCGTCACCACTACTGTGCATGTTGAATATTTCAGGGATTTGTACAAGGCGGTATATGACTGGTGGTGACCTAGATTGCCTGAGAGAGAACAGACCATATCCCCATGGATCTTGGCAAAGCAGGAGAGCTCTTTATCACGCCAAACACAGCCCTGACAGCACATACATACATTCACCATGTAAAGGCACCATGGGTATTAAGCTAGGTGGCAGGTAGACACATGTACCTCCAGGAAAGCAAGGTGAGAGAGAAATAAAGTCTGAAAGTGATGGAGAGCTAGTCACTTACCTTTCAGCCATTTGGAGTCATATTTGATAGTCCTCAAGGCTGATCCATCACCCATACTGCGATAGATGACAGAATCACTGGCCTGGAAGTCAGCTACAGTTGCCGAATACAGCTTCCCTTCTAAAAAAAAAACAAGGAGCAGAGTGACTAAAAACTAGGCTACAGTGCTCTAATGCTGGTTGTTTCTCTTCTTTTATAAGGCTTAATTGGCTGGGTTGTTAGCGCTGCAGGCGCAGTTTTACTGTGGCAAAGAGACAGAGGCGATAATGAGAGCATAAGGAGGAACACATTAGTTCTTCTTCAGCAAGATTAACTATGTGTGTGAGTGGGTGTACGTTTGACCCTTACCAGCGAAAAGGGCAACGTTGGTTTGCTTGGAGTCAAATGGGCACCGTGCCAGTCCATTGATCTCCTCCCCATCTAACTCGAGGTTATCCAGCTGAAGGGAACACAACAATCACCCACACATTTAAGGAGGTTTGCCAAGGGACACAGAGAAAACAAACACGCATAGAAACACCAGCGCATACATGAGTCAGTCAAAGGAGTCCAGTCAGATTTATTTAAAAATCCAAATTAAGTTAAGGACATTTACACAATGCTAGTCAAGATTTTGTGAAAGCGCTGTGGCAGGCTCTGGCACCGGATACTGACCCTGTAGTATCTGCACGTGGGATTGAAGCTGTTGGTACCACAGATGAACACCAGGTCATCGTTTCTGGGAACTAGTACTTTGATGAAATTGTGGCACTCATCCTGAAAACAGTCAAACACCACAGGCCAGTGTTTTGGGAGGCAGCCAGCTTCTCTGCTCAGTTTAAATCTCTGTCCGCGCAGTGGAATATTAAACAAAATGTGCAAGGTGAATGAGTTTCTTCTACATACCCTGTGTTTTCCCTTGACAGCACACATCTCTCTGTCAGTTTGGCCCGATCGCCATGTTAGCTTCTGGAAAAATCAACACGGAGCATTAGACACATCCACAGCACGCTAAACACACACGTACACTTTCACACTCATGCACACGCACGCACAGTCCACCCTGTTCCACTCTCATTTTACAAGCTGTCCACTTTGTGATGAATGGCTCCGTGTTTTCTATGGAGCCCTTTTAGTGTTTGTGGATTGAGAGAGCAGCTTGTGGCGAGAATCTTACCCGGTAAGGAATGATCTCATTCCTGTAGGATTCTCTCAGACTGACTAGGTACACCTGATCTCTGTGGAGTGACAGCAACAAAACATACAGCTCAGTGACACAACACAACTAGCAATACGCTAATATAAAATATAATCAAGGCTCATCATTTTCAGTGTTTCTGTTTTGGAAATAAAAGTCATGGGGCTATATCAATGTTTAGTTTAAATATGAATTAAAGGTTAACATTTTGATTACAAACTAATTCAAGTCTTAATTTAAAAATACCCATTTTCAATACAACCAGATCATGATTTAGCCATCTCTTGATTGCCACATTTTTTGAGGGACTCTGGTGCATAATGTGCAGCTCATTTGCAATGTTTAATTTTTATATTTATTTTCCATTATGACAATATTTTATAAGCTGTTCATGTCATTAGAGGACCTCATTAACTGCATTAACTGGTTTCAACCTCCTCTTGTAGTGGGGAACCCATAGGTTTTTGGTTTGTGGTAATATAAAATTTTAGGAAAACTGGTTTAAACTCTTTTTCTTAAAAACTGAAAGCGATGAGTTTAACATATAACTCATTCAAATGTCTGCATGAACCTCTATTGCTTTTTTCATAAAAACTTGAATATCCTCTCTGCATATCATTTTACATGACAACGTATTGTTTTGATAACAGCTCATTAAATATGCAAATGAAAACAATGGGAACCAAATTGTATCGATCATTAGAGAACAATGTTTTGGTCACTTTAAGTAAAATCATGTGAATACCCCAAACTGACAATAGGAGGATCAAGCTGACAACAGTGATGCATATGCTGGAGATTATAGGGGCTTCAGAGGTGTGACTTTTATACTGTAGAAGTCGAAATGATTTCCTGCTACAATATTAGTCCTGGCGGTCAGATTAATCCTAGTGCCCATAAATACCAAGAAGGCATGTAAAGGTGCCAAGAAATTCCTGACAAAGCGTCAAGCCAGGATGATAGACGCCTTTCCTGAATCAATACAGCCTGAATATATCAGACTCAGGGCTAGAAGCCACAGATTCAATAACACTAAGAGCTTTTCCCCCCTTATGCCACTGTTTACCTACCAAGGAGTGACTGACTTTATTGGTGTAGGGGATGTGTGAAAGAGAAAGTAAGAGATGTGTGTGTGTTGTGTTTACCTGCCAGCGATGAACAGAGTGTCCTGTATCTTGGTCATCAGCTGAAAATCAAGGCGATGCTGTGACTCGTTGCCAGAGGGCCTGCCTCTGAACACAGGGTACCTCCGTGAAACTGTAAAAACATCACATATGCACATATACTATTATTCTGGAAACTTGCGGTGAAAGTAAACACTTGTGCACGGATAAACCAGTCACTTCTTGCTACATTTAACTTAATTGTACTGATTAGACTTTCTGTGTTTGCGCTTTGTACAAATCGTCCTGCAGTGAAGGTAATGGCACAGTGCAAACACTGCATCAACCATAGCTTTTGTATAATTACATCTGTGTGTCATTGTGCTGTGCTTGTGTGTTAGATAGTGGCTGCTTATGTCAGCAAACCTCTGTTCTTTCAGTACATCAGAGAGATGAAAATGAAATCCACTTAATGCTACAACTGGCTATACAGCAGATTGATTTTATTACCATGTTTATAGCATGCTAGTGTCTGAACTGCTGACCTGACTAAAACGAGGCTTCCAGTATTTGTCTTTATTCTATGAGTATTATGCCTAAAAAAATAGCGGCTGAAGTGTATATAAGGGAGACTGGTTGAGGTGCAGTAATTTTCATTTCTAGCCTTCTCTGCTGAGTTGAGCTGCATGCGTATACTCACAGTGTGCATCAACAACATCGAGGGGTACAATATCCTCAGGGAAGCTGACTGCGAGGAGAGTGCGTGAGGCTGTCAGCAGCAGCAGCAGCAGCTCACTGAACAGAAGCGCAGCTCTCTGGCCCATGGCTGCGCACAGACGACACTTCCTGTTTCACACTAGTGGAGATGTTACCTGGAAATACATACAAAATGCATGCTTTTGTTGCTTTACATGTTGTACATGTTATACTGTATTTAACCTAACGCTGCAATGAGCCAAATCTGGGCCTCTTCTCAAAATCAGAACAATGCAAAAAGTCTTGTCAGTGCTCACCGTGTTAGTAAAATACACTAATAATTTACACATAACACCTTTTCTGGCTTATTGATGACTGCACTCTCAGTGGCAGTGCTTGGCATTTCCCCTGTACCTCTCTCTGCATCTGCTGTCTAAGGGAAGGTCAGCCAGCTGACTGGTGGGGTGTCTCGATGTGTGAGTGCAGCGGAAGTCCACTCTGTTAGAAACGTGGCAAGCCTACTGTGTCTGTACATCTGTGCTTCAATTGGTTTGTCCTGGGGCCAGCCTCAACACTAATCAGCATTTTTAAACTTCTTTAGTTTAGCCATTGCTCTGACTTTAGTGGACTTCTGTTGGCGCCGTTATTTCTCCAGCCTTTCCTTGGGGCCAGTGCATGTTACTGTAAAGCAGTGATTCACTCATATTAATGTCATAACTCGTGGAGTAGTTGCTTTGACATAGTTGTAATTCTTTGTGCATATAGTTTGTACAGCATGTGATTATAGATATGATACTCAGGCAGCTACACTGGTAATTTATTGTGGGAGTGGCAAGGGTTTAGTGTGTATGTAAGTGTGTGGAGGAGTGCTTTAGAGACAGGCTGTGTCTGTGCATATTAATGATTGGTGTACATTCAAATATTTATAAGGCAAACAAATTATTCATGCAGGCAAAGCCTGAACGGATATAAACAGTTTACTGGGAGACGTCACATAGGCACAGGGATGGATTAGCTGGGAGCACACCGTGATACACACACACATATGGTTGCACATCCATAATCACTCTTTCAAATAGTGTAATGCAAAGGCTGACAAATGTATGCATGCACAAACGCACACACAGTATTGATTCATTTTTCAATTAGCCCCAGAGCACACCTGCTCCAGTGCTGTCTGTGAGCCCTGCCTGCCAAGCCATTAGTGCTTTGATTGATCCACACAGGAAGCACGGGAGATCAGCAGCCAGCAAAGGCGATCTATGGACTTTACCACATCACTGTAGCCATGTGAGTACTTTGTAACTGTAAATCCTAATGTGGTGGCCCAACAACTTATTAAGGCTCTTTATGTTGGATTTTCCTTTTATTTGTCAACTGGCTCTATTTAAACACTTAGTTTAGCACTAAAAGATCCATAATAGACATGGTTGTCAAGTAAATGGATTATAACACACATGGTTGTTAAATGCGAGGTAGTGTAAGGTGATAACGGGACAATAATTTATGATATATATTGCATGTCAGCCTTTTGTCATTGTGTGTGGATTACCTAACATATACACTGGCCAAACAGCCTTTATGTTTATATGCTGACATAAAGTGTGCAGTATTTTTTTCCGGGCACTAATAGTGCAGTTTTGGCCTTAACAGTTAATGATATGCCTCTAAAAAGAATGAAAGTGGTGGTGAGATGGAGTCAGAATAATGCCAGTGTGTTTTAGTCGTCAGCCGTGTGTAATCATGGCCATTCAGTACTCTGTGGGATACCTAGGCCTGTGAAAGAGCAATGTCATTATGACTGAGTAACGCAAGGCCTGGACGAGACAGCACTTCATCTCAATTAGTCCACTTAATAGTTAAATTACGGGTTTGATGTTTTCACAAAATTGAAATATTGTATAGGGGCCAAAAATTGCTTTCCCTCCCTGTAACCGCAAACATTAATGATGCTTAAGCATTCACTATAGTCTAAATTAAATACAAAGGAATCTCTGGACACAAACAATCCACAGATCTATGCAGTCAAGCTCCCAAGTCTATACTGAAGAACAACTGTCAGCAACTTAAACTAAATAAGAAGTGATGATGCTGCCCTGCAAAGAGAGGCAGTGGTGTTCCTTAAAAGCATCACAGCCAGACATTCTCGTAGCAAGAAATGTGCTGTGTTAAAACCCAAGCAATAAATAGCGGAGGTTCTCGGAGAAGCCTGAGACAGAAATAGATACCAAATGCACAACAGCAGAAAAACAGAGGAGCTAAGAAAAGTAAATAAACCAAGCTTCTCATTTCAATTCTATAGTGCTATCATTCAGGCTGGAGGCTGTGCTTCTAGCCCAAACCTGGCTGTGTTCACGGGTAAATCATTTCCTTGGTTGTCAGAATTTAGAGTCCTGCTCTATATCACCTCTTTGTAAGCACACACACACATACAGACCCAGCCACTCTCCCTCTCTTTACAGTTCAGGAGAAAAAAACGCTCCAGCCAGAGGTGGGAGATCAGCTCCAATCACCTATGATTCCTTGCATGGTAACAGCCATGCTACAGAGGCAAAGGCTTTCCTCAGAAACTTTCATGTAAAACAGAAACAGAAGACATCCAGAGGTCAGCAATCTAAAATTACTTCTCAATCTCTGGTGAACCCAGTATGTTTTCTATTGACTATTCCTTTGCATTCTCTGGTTCCTGCCCTCCAGTGTGTGTGTAACTGCGCATTTGTGTGGGTGTGTGTATGTGTGTGCATGCACATATAGGCCTCAACAAGCCTAGAGATGCTGGGCTTGTCACGCAATGGAGTGTCATTCAGTCTTGCTTCACTCTGCCTCTGTTATTACACACTTTTCAGTGTCCTACAACCACACAACCACCCTGCTGATGTTGTTGGCTCAAGCCCACGGTGTTAAACATGGGGAGGAGGGGGGGGGTCTGGTGGATTAATATTTCTACTGGTGGTGAAGGTAGCTCAGTTCTGGCAGTTGCAGCTGAAGATTTACTGTTCCAAGCCTAAAATATCAGATTAACACAGATTCTCCTCTTAGCTATGCTTTCACTGGCATATGTTAGCCATAACCTTTTCTCCAGTGAAACACCAAATGGATGTGTTTTTGCAGGTACTGGGAGTAAACTGGGGCTAATAAAAGGATGACGAACAACAGTGGTGCATGAGATTTTGTAAGATGTGTGTGAATGATGGGCGGATGTAGTCCCAACAAAACAATGGCTTGAGAATCCTCAACTTGCCATGTTGCACCATACAGAGATTTAAAACCCACAGCATAGGAAATCTGATGGTCTAATGTCTAAATGCATGTGTATGCATGCATGACTGTCGTAAATCGCTGTTGTCTCAGCTCTCAACTGCGGCTCTGAGAAAGTAATCAAGATGCAGCCATGCAGGTGAGTGAGTCAGCCAGATGATCAGAGGAGCCACCACACAGGCCCAGGAATGATTACTACTCCTTTTCCCACTTCAGTAATAATCATTACTCTTAATCGCATGCTATTTACTTAAAGATCACTTCTGAGGGGCTTGGTTGGACTTGTTGCTTCAGAGATTTGGCAGGAGAGGGCTGTGCCACCCTAAACTGTGCTTCCCTCCTTTTCTTCTCTACCTTTATGAGAGGACGAGTGAAACAGGAGAAAGGCTGTTCTCAGCAGTAGTTCTGCTATAGTAGAGCACAAAGGGGCTGAGCTGCAGGTGTGATCAAGAAACAAAAGGGGCTTTAGGCAAGTCAACACAATAGAGCCCCACCCCCGGTCAGTGGAACTACATTCAGGAGAGCTGTTCTGGGGTGATGAAAAGGAAAGGACTTTGAGGGAACAAAGCAAACTCCATAAGCATCTTGAATCCAAGTGCTGCACATAGAGTCAAACTTTTATCACTCAGATAATTAAGAACTGAACGATCTGATTTCCAAGCAACAGTTTAGGTCAACCATAAGGCTGTAAAGGGTTAACACTGTTCACTGTATGGTTTAATGGTGTTGTTTCAGGGTTACAGCCGTCTGTAGTGTGGAGTTAACGGTGGTCGTTCTGGTCGCTGAGTCCTGACCCCATGGCAAGTGAGGTGAAGTGAGACACAACAGCCAGCTGTGCTGTCAACAAACCCACAGATGGCTCAAATGTTTGAACTGATTGGACTGTGATGCTCCAAGTTTGTAGTTACTGGGTTATACTATCCCTGTGACAGAGCACAGGCACCCCAGATTTTCAGGGAAATGTGCACATTTGGCATAAGTTTGGAAACTAATTTGCTCTCTCTCTGTTTCTGTAAAGGGACTATAGCTACTGGTTGGACAAAACTGCACAGATAAAATTTTGGCCAGGCACTAAAATTTGATAAATGCATACATTTTGTCCTTTGAAGAAATTAATTTAGCATACCAGCTTAATTTATAGAGACAGAAGGCTGTCAAATTTTCTTAAATGATTACCTCAACACTCGCAGTTACATGCCACCTATTGTGGCTCTTTCTTTACTGTTCTTGGGTTTCTTTTCTGT